AGACGGGCTGTGCCCGTGAAAGCACTGTTTCACGCAGACGCTTGTGGCTTGTAAACGCGGGACCGGGACAGCTGGGAGCTGCTCGAAGATTTGATCTATCGACGCCACTGGAGTCGAGATCGATAGGGAGCCACCAGTCACCAGCGATGTCATGCAATCTCGCAGCGTGCGATGATCGTATACAGCGCTCCCGTTCCGCGGTCAGGTTCGACTCTTCGAAACGAAGTTGAGTGATCACGGAGTCGCGATCAAGTGAAAAGCACCTGAGCCGCGCGAGTTTGAAGATCGTTTAGCAACGTTTTTTTTCTCCCAACGTAGCTCCACTTAAATTTTTATAACGCGCTCGACACTGCGACAAGTCTTGTCTTGAGATTCGGCGTGCAATTTCTTGTATTGCGATGCTGCTTCATATGAACGGCTGGGGAGATTTAAAAGAGCATCACGCTCAGCCACCAAGCGGTCTCGGATCTCGTCCATCGAATCCCGGCGATCTCATCGTCATATATCTCTTAGGCGACATGGTGTTTCCGGACAGCCTTCAGAAGTTTTCGTTTCAGGTACACGATCTCGGCGGCAGGTTCCTCAATCTCGGCAGCCTGCTTGCGGTTCTCAGCCTCAAATTAGCCGAGACCCTCCTGAAAGTTTGTCGCTCGTTGCGTCTCATTTTTCAGTCGCGTGTGTGGTGGAATAGTGATCGAAAATTCCTTGTGACCATAACTCTCCACTGAAGCCTGGACGACCGACTAATGGAGGGGGTACCTGTATTCCGTAATCTGTATCTTCTTGTTCACCTTGTGTACCCGTGGGTGGGGCTGTTTGCGATCTTCTTAATGGACTTGAGATGGGCTGAACTTGACCATTTTGGGGATAGGGGCTGATCGGGTGGATTTTCTTCACCCGGTCAAAAGTAAGGGCGGATCGTGTGAAAATTCTGTACTCAATCGCGTGTATGCTTGGGCGCTCTCCCAATATCGTCTTTGTACAAGGGTGATGCTTGATCCACGAGCCTTCTGACCACTTGAGCCGTCTCGCGATCTTGAATCCAAACCGCAGAGATCACTGCGTCCAATCGCAGTTTATGGGGGGAGTTGAGAACTGATGTTCCGCTTGGCCACACAATCCAAAGGCGAAATTTGTATCGACGCGGGTCACTGTCTATTTGACGGGATGCCAAAAATCCTGCCCGGGAGAAGTCGGCGCGTGTCTTTTGTAGCAAATTCTCTTCCGTTTAATGTCAATTAACCAAATCCAAAACCTATCACTATGCCTATCTATTCGCTAGATCACTGTTGCATATTGCATGTCTATGTAATATACTTCTTGCATCATGTGGTCTACAGCAGATACTCGTGTGGCGGGTCGCTCCGTAGTGGATCGCTCCGTAGTGGATCGCGGTATGTGGTCCACACCAATTATGTGTACACACATATATGTCTCCACACAATAAAGCGTTACACACCCAGGATGGATCGTGATCAATATCTTGAGTCTTTGATCGGGCACTCACCGTCAAATCGCCGTCACTTCCGAGACCTCGCATTTTTGATGATCTTGGCGATCCATTTATCCAGCCTGCTTCCATATTCACCTCTCTTCAATTGTCGTTATCGATCTAGTAATCTAGATGATGTTCACCTTTCGAGTGATCCAGTACTCGTAAATTGGTGACCTAAGCCCTTGATCTCGAATCGTGATTAGTCAGTATTCGATCCTTGACTAAACTCCTTTTTGACCATTAGTTTGATCGATCCGCATAACTTCAACAGTCGTTTTCTGTCACTCAGTCATTTGATACCATCATTCTTGCAAAACGGCCCATCTCCGAGCGCGCACCACCAATCAAATTGATCTCGCACTTAATGCGGTTTGCACGATCCACATTATACAACATTATTCCTCTGCGCTTCTCCACACGTGGTGAGTAGGGTACCATACTTGACTCGAACAAAAGTCACGAACGGAGACGTGGAGGTGCAGAACTTCTGTAAGTTCGTATCCAGTTGGCGATTGCGGGCGATCTGCCGAGCTAACTAGGCCTCCATGTCCCCATACCGGCCACGATCGTTTGCTGCTGATCCAGTCGAAACAAGAGGGAGTCGATCATCTCTGTCGCCGAATCACAGTTGATCACAGACGATGGACCGACGCGGACGCTGGGAAGTGGAACATGTTTTCTCGAACGCTAACGCAGGACGGCGTTGTCGGTCTTTGTAGCAGTTGGAGCAGGGATTAAAGACGAACTAGCGGGATGAACCAAACTTGGACCCACATATAACGTATCGACCGATGTAGCCATGGCGGTGGCTATCGAGTGATCGCACTCGCCCAACACTAGCGTGGGAGGGTCGTGAACAGACAGATCAGGAGTTATTCGAAGAAACAGCCATCACCGCAAGTGTAATCGGTTTGAGATCTGGGGACGTTCGATCGAACGTTAGCTCGAGGGCTAGAATTCGATGTGGCTCCACCCAGCATGATGGGAAACAAACCGAGTATGAATACCATAGGGGGGGGTCAATAGCTGTCAACATGCAAGAGGATGCACAGCTAGGTCGACTCCTGATTGTCTACTTACGGTGCAGAAAACGATTGTGGTAAAGCAATCACGAGATTTTACCGTTGAGGTGGGACCTGGAAGCTCATAGATCGCAGACGTCGGTTAAGTCCGAAAAGATTTCCGATTGGAGGAATAATATCTGAGATGAGTGGCTCACACGGCCTCGATCTGATACCTCGATCTCGATCCGATCTATCGATCTCGGTCGGATCTCTCGATGTCTGGTGTTGGTCACGCCAGTTTCCAGAGAGAACCTACTTGGTGTAAACCACCTAGGTTACAAGGGGGCGATGCCCCTGAGAGGGAGACGCGTGGATTCGAACATAGTGATACAGATAGGCCTAGCGATGTGTTGTTGTTTTTTTGGTTTGATTGGTTAATTTAAAACAGAGCTCAATTTGCTTCTGAGTATACGTGTCGACTTCTCTTTCGGGTTGGATCATTGGCCACCCGACGTCAAAGAAAGTCACATACTTAGCTCAAGCGATATCCTTGGATTGTTTGGCCAGGGATCAAGGAATCTTAACAACCCCCGTAACTGCGATCAGACGTAGCGAACACGTAAAGGCAAAGAACGAAAGATCGTGAGACGGCTCAAGTGGTCAGAAGGATCGCGGATCAAGCATCTACATTGGACAAGGCGATCTCGTAGAGATCAAGGTGGATCATATCGAGAACCTTACAAATACACCCGCTATCGTGTTAAGATTTCCACGCTACAGCGCCAATCCCAGCCACGGTCAAGCTTGGCATCGACTCGAGTCCACCTGGAAGAGTGCAACCCGCCCCACCGACGGGTACACAAGGTGAGCGAAGCATACAACACGGAATCGGAGTATCTCCTCCGTTATTCGGTCGTCCGGGCACCGGTGAAGAGTTGGTATCGACTCCGAAAAAGAGCGATCGCCACTTCACCATATCCGCTTTCTCGTCTCTACGACTAACCTACTCAGCCATGCATAGCATTGTCAATCTAACTTATTCATCTTCAAATCTTCACCATTAACTCTATGGCAAATACGCAATAATTTTAAGCCAGTGCATACCAGGCTATGTAAATAGATGTTTACACCGACTATCCATGTCAAGTATTACGGTTAGTTTGTACTATCATTTGTTTCCTACACGTACATAATGACTAAGGCATCAAACTTCGCTTCGTCGGTAAGACCATACGTTAAATAAGTTTGGCTTCGATAAGGAGGACACAGTCGTAGAAGAATTGATACCAGCGCCAAGGCTTATTCACAAAAAGCGCATACTTAGTAAAAAAGACGACGCAAGGACAGTAGGACTTGTTGATTATGTCAACTTGGCTCATGGCATTGCCAGTTCTACATTATTTATGTACAACAGCAGGCAACAACGGTCGGGTGGGTCTGCATATCAAGGCATCAGGCCAAATCGTGCTATAAAAAGCATATAACACCCACGATTAAATCCTTAGAGGTAGAACAATGTAAACTCATTTCGATGAAATATACCTAACATTTTTACATTATAGGCGACATGACTCTCTGCCGTTAAAAATGGTTTTGTGTATGGCTAATTGCTCGATGTCATTGGAATGCTGCCATGTAAAGGATGAAGACGTGCCACGAGATTTGCATTAAGCCTTTGAGATGACAGGTTCCTGATTGACGCGCGGCCAGAGCTCACACTCATAGGGAGCGCAGGAGACGCATGAGTAAGGTATCATAGCTATAAGTGCAAGCAGCCAGTAATACTTGGAAATAATTAATGTCTTCAAACTAAATATGGACAATTGACAAAATATTAATATAAAAATATTTTTTTTATTGCTTACCTTGAACGCCTCTTAATAATTAGATCGTAGAATTGGTTTTCGACCAACTCCGAAAATAAAAGTTAGTTTTTGCGTCCGGAAACCTTGAGCTACAACTTGCAAGGTCCACGCTAAGACTTGGATCTAAAATTTACAGACCTGTTGCCCAACAGCGACGCGGATGAAGACACGTACGTATTACTTTGCGTAGTTCGTTCCAATCTAAATAATGCATCATTCATTTTCTACGACAAAGTACATCAACTTGACGAATCCTGTCGCCAGGACATCAAGTCCTGACCTGACCTGTCCTGACCTGTCCTGTCGGGCAGAACCATTGAGTACTGTCGACCGACCGGAACGTTCCAGCAACCCACAGGGCCAAAGTCGACACGGGACAGTCGCTGCTGCATCGCGCGCAACGACACGTGCGACACGCAACTCGAAGAGCTTAGCAATCAAAGTGCCCTTCGGCGTCCCGTCAACATTCGGTCGCATTGCTTCGTCCCGCGTCTCCCGAACGTTTTACGTGCAGCTCACATCTTCCCGCGACGTGTGAGCACTCCATCACGCGCTCGCTGTCTTCCAGCCAGTAGCCGTAGTGGCCTTCCCGTTCGACACGGCCTCTACGTCCGCTCGTGATCAGTCCTCCGCTTCATGAGTCCCACTGCTGCCCCCTCGAGCGTTCACTTGCGCCCTCTGCTGGCCGCCTGCGTCTCCGCCAGTGCGCTCGGCGGCCGCGTCCTGCGCGAAGTCGTGGAGCGCCACGTGGCGCTTGACCTCGTGAGCAAACAGGACGGCACGTACGATCCACAGACAGTGGCGGACCGGCGATCGCAGCAGCGGATCGTTCATGCGCTGCGTCACTCGTTCCCGCACGTCACTATCGTCGGGGAAGAAGGAGAGCTCGGGCCGCCACGTCCAGAAGATCAGCTGCAGTGCGACCTCTGCGCCCTCGACGACGTGGCGTTCTCCAGCAGCTGCAAAGGTGCAGAGGGCCTGAGCAGCGGTGAGGTCAATGGCCCACTGGACTGGACAGAGCTCGTGCTGTGGGTCGACCCGCTCGACGGCACGAAACGCTTTGCTGCGGGACTGCACGACGAAGTCTCTGTGCTCATTGGCATCTCCTACCGACAACGGCCTCTCGCAGGCGTTGTGCACCTGCCGTTCAAGGGGACACACGGGGTCACGTATTGGGGTACGCTGTTAGCTGTCGCGGTGGAGAAGAAGGGCTATGCTTTGTCGTGCTCGCTGGGCTAATGATTCTCTCTCTCTCTCTCTCTCTGGTAGGCGGGCCGAGCGTTGGGGTATTCTGCAGCACTTACGAAGACAGCAGTGCTCAGACACTCACACATGTGAAGCTGTCGAAAGAGACGATGATGTACCCCAAGCGGCAGCTCATCTGCACCGTGTCGTCCACGACCTGCGACCAGGCGGACAAGGCGTTGCAGCTGCTCGGCCCGGAAACTGTCCGAACCGGTGGAGCGACAGGCACAATGGTACTCAGCGTCGTAACGGGCGCCAGTGACGCCTTCTTTCGCTTCAAGGCCGCCACCCGCAAGTGGGATATCTGTGCAGTTGAGCCACTGCTCGAAGGGCTTGGGGGGAAGCTCACTGACACGCAGGGCAACGCGTACACGTACGACCACATTGGCAACGCGCCTGAGTTTGACAATGAGCGTGGACTGCTTGCGAGTCTTGAGCCAGCAGTGCATCAGATGCTCCTGGATGCGTATGCAAACGTCTCACTGCTGAGGTAGAGCTAATCGCTGCGTGAGCTGAGTAGCACCGCTTGTCTTCAAATATAGTCGTGTACTCATGGGCGACGTCTTCTTCTTCTTGTGCTGCACAGCGCATTGGATGGACGAGAGATGGCGCCGCAGTGGTTTCAAGAGTGTGTTTTCGTGGGACGTCAAGTGGTAAGCGTGAACCTCGTGCCGGCTTCAGCTCACTACGGTAAACAGTCCGCCGTTGCAACGCTCGACGTGCACTTCAACGACCGCGACAAACGTCGTACCACTCGAGTGTTTCTCAAGAAAGCAGTAAAGAACGAGCTGCCTCCACGAACTGCTGCACAGTGGACGCGCGACATTGCGTCGTATCGTGCCGAGGCGACATTCTACGCACGTTACGCCCCGTTGTTGCAACAACGAGGCGTCTCTCTGATCCGACCGCTGGCAGTGTTCCAGAGTGATGCTGCTGGCACCTGCACGACCAATTTGGTGGCAAAGGATACCACAATTCCCGAGTGCCAAGCTCACTGCTCGGCCCCGATAAACTTCATGTTGCTGCTCGAATGTCTCGGCTCGGCACCTCCGGCGTCGTCGAGTTTAGACGATCTCCAGTCTCTCGCCACGTACGAAGCCGCCGATCGCCTCGAACTGGTCGACACGAAACAAGCGTTGAGGTATCTCGCGCATCTGCATGCTTCGACGTGGGGACTGCACGCTCTTGATGACATCAAAGGGGGTGAGCCCATGGCCGAAGCGTGCTGGTGGATGCTGTCCAAACGAGGCGAGACCGAAGTTGCTCGAGCTTTGCACATTTGGCCGCAGATGCTTCGGAACTGGGAGTCCGTGTTTGAAAGCGAGACGGAATTGCCATCGCTGGCCGAGCTAACATCTCTGGGCGAACGAATGGTCCAAGAGGCGGCGTATGTCAACGCCTGTCTCACGGTGCACGCCGCCGCTTCAGTGCGCACGTTCGTCCATGGCGACTTCAAGAGCGCCAACTTGTTCTTTGAGTCTCAGTCTCGAGACGTCGTGGCGTTCGATTGGCAATGGAGCGGCATGGGTCTGGGCGCGATGGACGTGGCGACTCTGCTCAACACGTCCGTGAGTATCTCGGTCCTGTCCACTGGCACTGACGAACACGAGCTCCAGTTGCTCCAGTTCTACTACACCTGCTTGCGCGAGCGCCTCCAGGCCCTCGACCCTTCCGTGCACCTCGACCAGCGCTACCCGTTCGAGGCGTTCGAGCGCCATTACATGTTGGCGACGCTCGAGTACGCGCGTGTCCTGATCTCCAACTTTTGGCACCGCCTGACGCCCAGCACGTGTGCCGCGAAAGGCAGCCGCGTCAATTGTGGACTCGGGTACCGCTCAGTGCCCCACGTCGTGCGACTCGTGCGCAAGCTGCACCAGAATCTGCGCCGGCTCGAGACCGAACGGCTACAAGTCGCATCGTAACGTTTTACACATCGCGCGTGACTGACTGCGTATATTCCGCAACCCAAAAGATCATTTCGGCAGACAGTGCCGTGCACGACTCGTTAACAAACCCAACTACTGCCTCCTCGTTCTGTCTTCCTCCATTGTCTACTACAGAGCGCTACGTGCTCTTCGTCGCGTGTTCTGCTCTACTCCTACACAACGTACGTGTATACATTTGTTGCCCATCTACACCTCTCGTAAATATATATAAAAAATACAGTCCCCCCCCGTCCTCATACGCCTCCCCCCTTTCCACGCAATGTCGTGCCACCGCTTCAAGCTCCTCGCACGTCTCCCACTTAAATCATACTAAAGTGGGAAAACGCCACGTGGTTCTCGGCCGCGTCCCCGTCCTGCTGCGAATACGCTCGTCGCAGCGCATTCGCCGACCGCGACGTCGTCAACACGCTCGACGGCCCGAACTCGCGAGGCGTCACGGTCCCGTCCTCACTGAAACTGTAGCTACTTCGGGAGCTCATGCTGGGCGACAGCGGGGCCTTGGCCACCTGGTCGTACGAGTTCAGGTTCGCCACAAACTCTGCGTACGCGGGCGCGTCGCACGCTGCTGGGTGCGCTTCAATGGCCGCCAACACGCGCTCGAGCGCCAGTCGCTTCTTCTGCAGCGCCGTCTGCGTCTCGCCCACGAAAAACGTGAGGAGACTGTCGTTCGGCATCTTGGGCACGTGCGCCGCGCCGCTCTGCATCATGACGGGCGCCACCGCTTCGTAGAGGCGCTTGAAGTCGTCGAAGCTCCGACGGATGGCGTACGACTGCGTTGTGCACGGCCGAGAGGCCGCCATGTCGGCTTTGGGCTCGTGGATACTTTTCTTCTTGGAACGACTGGCGAGCACATTGGCACTCGGGCCGGCGTCGGTCTCTTGCATGCGACGTGTGACGTGCAGTAAATACCGCCAAGTACCGGTCTTGCGGTCCTGCACGAGGCCCCGAATGGCTACGTGCTGGGAACTCTTGAAACTCTCGTACGGCATTGGCGACGGACGAGCTGGAGACGGTTGCGATGAAGACTGCGGGGCAGCTATGGCGGACTTGGCAAATGAGCAAATGGCAAGTCGAGTGCCCCGGCGCGAATCGGCGACTTCTTTTCTTTTTTTGCGATTGTTACTACTACATACTACTACTACTACTACTCCTGCGGCGGCGGCTGCTGCTGGTTTTTCTCTTCCTTCGTGTCGCACAGTAAATAGGCCGAGAAGACGATGCGGGAGCCGCGACCGTGCGTCACAAAGCACGAAGCCGGGGTCTTCGAGCGCGAGCGACTCGTTTGCTCGCTTTTTCGAGGGCACAAATCGTCGCGCACACCTCTCGCTTCGGTCGTGGCAGAAAAGACGCGAGTCGACCGACTTGGGAGGTTTTGCCCGCAGTTTCGGCGACAGGCGCGCGAAAGGGCCCGTGGGCAGGTGGTGAAAAAGGGATCGAAAGACAATCGAAAAGACGTGAGAGGGCGTGGAGACCGATGTTCAAAAGGGGCTGTGAAAACGGCTTCGAGTTGTATCTTACAACGCGCAACAATGTCACCGAGTTGCAGAGCAGGCGCGCCCGAGTTCCAGGAAGTTGTGGTCGAGGCAGAGCGCGATCGATGACGTCAGGTTTTTTCGCATCGAGAGACACCGACGTCGAGAGACGCTCTGTGGTCACCAACCGCTCGTGGTCGACAACCGCTCTCTCCCCGGTCGACCGTGCGCTTGTTCTATTGGCCTCATGTTCTTTCCGCACGACGAAAAATCAGGAGCCGATCTGGAACGCGCACGCCACCGACAGTCGTACCTGCGCGACACAATTTTGACCTCGCCACTCGATCCCCGAGCGTCGCCGACGGAACAATGTTCGTGCACAAAGCGATGCTCGCAGCTTTGTGGTCTCGGAACGGCAGGCGGATCCCACCGCACAATGCAGCGCTTGATCATTGAGCGTTCATGTGGCGCTGTGGTCAGATACATATGTGCAGCCCTCTGCGAGCAAGTTCCTGTGCATCGCGTTTGCTCTTCGGCAGTCTGCCTCGACGACATTGCGGCGCGTTATTGGGACCGAACACAAACGGTAGCAAGCGGCCAACTGTGCGTGCGCCGTCACTTAGTACGGCTCGTCACGTCACCGCGCATGGCATCGCTCGAACGTCACACAGGTATCGCAAAGGCGACGGGTCTCGTGCATGTTGAAGGTGCTTGAGCGACATGCTTCGACGTGGAACTTCAAGCGGATGATTTATGATCCTGTGGACAGTGGCAATGGCTGCAGAAACGTGATGGCGATTCACTGAGCCGTGAAAAAGCATTGTTGTTCGTACATTGGATGCATAGCGAGCACTTAGTTCATGGTCCAATTGGGTTTTTCTACCAACTTCTTCGTCTCGATGATATTTGCGTAGGGCACGAACTTTTTCCGCATGCACGCGTTCCCGCCTGTTTGACAAGGGCGTTTCGGGGCGTGCGGTCGTTCGCTGCGGCGAGCGACGTGCAAAGTACTTTTCCACGAAGTTTCCAGTGATCAGGCGTCGAGAAACTCTATTCCGTAGGCTCCACCTTGATAAGCTGCTGGCCACGAACTGCCGACATTGTGTCGCACCGAATTCCTGTCGATGCCAGTCTGGCCCACTTATCTACCGCAAGAGGCCACTAGCGTCGCCTTCCGCGAAAGTGCCGAACGTGAATCTTCAACTACAGTCAGCCACGTGCATCATCACGTGCGTCGTCCGTAGTGGCTCCGTCATCATTTCTTTGACCACTGAACAACTACAGGAAGATGCTGTGACTATACTTCTCTGCGAACAAACGACTCGATCAGGTGCAAGATGGACCGCACAAAACAAAGGATAGCTAAAGAGTGGCAAACGTTCAGTATTGATGACGCGCGTCGATTATATACGAGTTAAATATTGCTGCACACAGCGGTCGAGGGGATCTCGCCAGGCAAACATGAACGCGACGCACTTCCACGACGAGGTAGCGGGCGACCCTACGACGACGTAATGGGCTCTCGGTATAAGCTGTCGAGCGTCGTCCAAGCTGGACTCGACGTCTTGTGGATCGAACTCGTGCACCGACCCGAGAGCGGGGCCATGACCTTGGCACTCACGGACTCGTGCCCCAGGAATTCCAGCACGTCCGGCAAGTCGCGAGCCACCGCGTGGTTCAACACGTCCATGACGATCTGGGTCAGCACCTGACGACGTTCGTCCAGTAACGTCTGGTTGTCGGCTAAAATGAGCGTCAAGAGTCCATCGGCAGGCAGTGGCGTGAGGGCGTCGCCCATGACAGACGCCAACACTGTGTGGAGCTGCTTGAACTCGCTATAGCGGCGACTGATGACGTACTCGTGGCTGAATCCCTCTTCCACGAGGCCACGTGGCGACGAGTGCGTACTTGTGCTCCCACGTCGCACATGGAGCACGTACATCCACGCGTTAGTGGTCGCGTCTTGCACGACTTCTGTGATCTCGACGTGTTCCTGCGGCGTGAAGCTTTCGTACGGCATGGCAGAAGACGGAGACGAAGAGAGGAGGAAAAGGCAAGAGCTGGTAGACCGCGAAGAAAAGTCGCGTAGTACGTGTTGCCGTACTTGTAGTGGTGGTAGTGGTGGCTGAAGTAGTAGCTGTAGTAGTACTTGTGGCAGTAGTAGTAGCAGTTGGGAGAGTTGTCGTAGAGCCTCTAGAGTCAGTCGAGAGCGTCGTGTCTCTGTAGCGAATCTGCTGTCCTGGCAAAGAGCTGGAGCTGTCGACAGAAAGTCGTCGTGTGCTGTCAAGTGCTCGAAATGTGGAATGCCCGTCAGGTCGCACGCGACGGCCACTTACGACAGACGACGACGACGGCAGCAGCAGCGAATCTGACAATCGCTCGAGCGGCTGCACGCAGTCGACGGTAAACTTCACCTTCCAGCGGCTGGTCGGTACCGCGTCGAGGCTTTCGATTGGTGGATGGGATCAAAATGTGACGATAGCTCGCAACATTTGCGGAACTTGCGTGCAAAGCCGACTTTTAGCGTCAGCGACTCGTGACGGCCATTGCGACACATCGCTGGCGATCGATCGTCCCGTCTGTCTCTCGGACTCTTATGTCAAGTACTCACACAGGCTAAGACGGCCCTTACTTGTTGCCTGCTGCAAGCCGTCGCCTTCCCCCTATCTCCCGCAACTATGGCCGACGTGCTCAATTAGGTTACAGAGAATCCACTCGCTCGCTCGCACGTACGTACGTACGCACATCATCTGCTGCCAAGACGCGAACAGTGTTGAGCTTGTGAGGAGTCCGTCTCTCACAGACGGGAGAGCTGAGAAACACACGACACATTTGGTTGAGGGAGGGGCGAGAGAGTCGACGCGTTGCACACCACGTCGACCTCGAGCCAGACACGGCCCGCGATTCACGTCCGCCTCTAGCAAACAGGCGCCGACAAAGGCAATCGCTGTAGCATCTGTTCGGCATCGCCGCGGCTCGCGACTGCGGCGGACCAACGCCTGGTGTCCACTCTCTTGCTTCGTTCAGTAGTGTTAGAGGCTGCCACTGGATGGCAGAGCGGTTCGGACGGACACGCAAAAAAAGCGAAGCACGTCAGGATTGTGCTGTGCATCACAAGCGTCTGACGCCAGAGGAAGCGCTGTCTATGCACGACGTACGGGCGTGGGCGGTGTCGGCGCGCCATGATCAGATGCAGGAATCTCGAAGCCACGCACGGTCCGGTATCAGATGACCGAAGGTGCAGTCCCGGGATCTGTTCGACGAATACATCGTCTTGTTTGCTGACGTGCCTCAACCTCGTGACATGAGCGCTTTGTTGGCAGCGAAATAGTCACTCGGCCACGGGTTGACGAGCTGCACGTGTTACATAACGCCTATTGTACGAGTGGCCTCTACACTGTCCAACAAACCTGCTAACATGTAGACGCTGATCGCGGCAACTAGCAGCGATACTGGCAGAGGAGCGCTAGAGGCGGTAATGACGCCTTCACAGTTAGCGTGAGATGGCGTGCTAGCCAGCGAGAGAGCAGTAGCTGGTCTTTCTTCGACGTGAAACGCGTGGGCAATGCGTGTCGCAGTGTCTTCCAGTTACAAGTGCCATCCAGTGGTCGTCTTGCGACTGGCTGCGATCGTCGTCGCTCAGGTGCCATAAGTCTTTGATTGAACATGCAAGTGCTGCCACAGCCCCAGACCAACAAAGCACACTGTGTTTATGCCAAGAAGAAGAAATGCGTGGAATGGAAAAAAGATTCGAGTGCGAGGCACGTCGGCTTTGCGTTCAGTACGACGAATCGTCACAGACCGACCGACGTACATTGAATTCTCGGAGCTGACCACTGGGTGTACAGAGTCGTGCCTTATAGTGGAGGGGATGTGGTTGTGCGTTACGGATGCGTTGCTATACCATACTACCAGTTCGATCCGGTGTCAAACGTTTTCACATCCACACACATCCACACCCCTCGCCATTGTGATTTGAGAACACGTGACACGATCGTAGCATGCTGCCTGCTCAGATGACGGGGTAAGAAGCGAGCGCTCTCGGCTTGCTGCATTTGGCGGACTCTCTGACGTCAGTCTTCTTTCAAAGCCCACATACGGCCGACGCTCTGCTTTCTCTGCTTCGCACAGGGAATGCCAGGACGTGGCTGAGACACTGATCGGTAGTACCCGGCAATGACATTGCTGCATGACCGCCAAGTCCCGACACTTTGGTTACTCGATAGTAGACCGTGCTTCGCTGGACAATCGATTCGCACCTTGAACTGATCCTGCCTGTTCATGTCCGAGTGTGTATGTTCCGCTCCACATTGCCGGTCAGTGATACTCTCCCGCTTCCGAATGCTTGACGGCCTATTCTTTGTAGAGTCATGACACCGTCTCTGTCTTATGTGCTTGCAGCCAGTTCGTGACACAAGCAGAGAAGAGTCTAAGCTATTTACAGCAGTAGTGTCCTGGTTCTCTGGTAAAGCCAGTAATGAAACTCGAACAGCGAAGGTGCCAGCTGTAGTGGCAGT